GGGAGGGGTGAGTATCCCTGGGAACCCGGCAGGCGCGGCCGCGGGCACTTCCAGGGTTTGCAGACCGCGGCGTGCGGGGGATGCAGTAGCTCCTCCTCGCGCGCAGGGGGCGAGCTGGCGCGCCCCAAGGCCCTCTCCGGCGGGGAAGCTGCGCGGGGCTCGGCTCGCCTCGGCTCGCTTCGGCTGCGCTCGGCAGGCTGCGGTAAATCCGGGCTTGCGGCGGCTGGCAAAGGCTGCGGCCCGGTGGTCCCCGTTGCGCGCCCTGGAGCCCCGAGAGCCATGCAGATGTCCTACGCCATCCGGTGCGCCTTCTACCAGCTGCTTCTGGCCGCGCTGATGCTGGTGGCGATGCTGCAGCTGCTCTACCTGTCGCTGCTGTCCGGGCTACATGGGCAGGAGGAGCAAGACCAGTATTTCGAGTTCTTTCCCCCGTCCCCGCGGTCCGTGGACCAGGTCAAGGCGCAGCTCCGCACCGCTCTGGCCTCTGGGGGCGTCCTGGACGCCAGTGGCGACTACCGCGTCTACAGGGGCCTACTGAAGACCACCATGGACCCCAATGATGTGATCCTGGCCACGCACGCCAGCGTGGACAACCTGCTGCACCTGTCGGGCCTGTTGGAGCGCTGGGAGGGCCCGCTCTCCGTGTCGGTGTTCGCGGCCACCAAGGAGGAGGCGCAGCTAGCCACGGTGCTGACCTACGCGCTGAGCAGCCACTGCCCCGATATGCGCGCCCGGGTCGCCATGCACCTTGTGTGCCCCTCGCGCTATGAGGCCGCTGTGCCTGATCCCCGGGAGCCGGGGGAGTTTGCCCTGCTGCGGTCCTGCCAGGAGGTCTTTGACAAGCTAGCCAGGGTGGCCCAGCCCGGGATCAACTATGCGCTGGGCACCAATGTGTCCTATCCCAATAACCTGCTGAGGAATCTGGCTCGGGAAGGGGCCAACTATGCCCTGGTAATCGATGTGGACATGGTGCCCAGTGAGGGGCTGTGGAGGGGCCTTCGGGAAATGCTGGATCAGAGCAAGCAGTGGGCGGGCACAGCACTGGTGGTGCCCGCCTTCGAGATCCGCCGAGCCCGCCGCATGCCCACGAACAAGAACGAGCTGTTGCAGCTCTACCAAGTGGGCGAGGTGCGGCCCTTCTATTATGGGCTGTGCACGCCCTGCCAGGCACCCACCAACTACTCCCGCTGGGTCAACCTGCCAGAAGAGAGCTTGCTGAGGCCTGCCTATGTGGTGCCCTGGCAGGACCCCTGGGAACCATTCTACGTGGCCGGAGGCAAGGTGCCCACTTTCGACGAGCGCTTTCGCCAGTATGGCTTCAATCGGATCAGCCAGGTGCCCAAAGGGAGAGGGCAGGGGACATGGGGCAGGAGGAGTGGTGGGCTCTGGGAGCTATGAGTGGTCCTGGATGGAAAGGAGGCAATGAGGCAGGACAGTCGTAGTTCACGAAGTGGTTGGATGGTGTGGAGGACCCAGGATGTCTCCGGAGGAGTGGGAATGCTGGAGAGGGGCTTTAGGGATGTCAGTGTCGGCCTCAGCGGTCTCATCCAGCTTCACTGACCTGTCTCTCCTCCAACAGGCCTGTGAGCTGCATGTGGCAGGATTTGATTTCGAGGTGCTCAACGAAGGTTTCCTGGTTCATAAGGGCTTCAAGGAAGCTTTGAAGTTCCATCCCCAAAAGGAGGCCGAAAATCAGCACAATAAGATCCTTTACCGCCAGTTCAAACAGGAGTTGAAGGCCAAGTACCCCGACTCCCCTCGTCACTGCTGAGCCTTTCTCTCCCCTAGTCAGAGAAGTCTCAGCCTCTTCCCTCCTCAGGCCGTCCCTCAGGCCTGACAGGGGTAAGAAATGTCACCCCACTTTACAGTGGTAGCTGTGATGTTGGAACACTGGACTTGAATACGGGGTGCTGGGATCAAGTCCTGGCTTTACCACTAACTAGCTGTGTGGCCTTGAGCAAATCCCATTTCCTCTCTGAGCCTCAGTTATCCCGTCTGTAAAAAGGGAGGTGAACATACCTACCTCACAGAACTGTTGGGAGGCTCAGATGAGATGCTATATATGAACCATTCTGTAAGCTTCGTACAAATGTGAAGTATTATTAATATTATTACAGTATTATTGTTATTATTATTATTATTAACAATCTGGGGTGGGTGGGCAGTAGGAGAGTGAAAAGTATGAATGGGGCAGAACTGAGAAGTCTGAGTACTTAACAAAATGGACTTTTTGGGGAAGAAATCAGGTGAAGGCATTGAATTTAGTTCTTAGCTCTTGGGCAGAATCCTAAACTTCCTGGTTCTTCCAGCCGCCTCCGGCCTCTGGAGCTCTGGAGAAAGGAAGGGTCTGCAGGTTCTCTGCCCGATCTGTGCCCTCGAATAGGCTGGGCTGGGTTATTTGCCTACCACCGACCGTGTGTAAATAAATGAGTGTTCACACCTACGGCTGGCTCCATGACTCTCCTGAACCCGGCGGGCAGGGGGAGGGGTCGTGGCTTCTTCCCTTCCACACGAGGGATGGGGGGACCGGAGCGGGGGAAGGGGGGGAGGAGCTGCGGCCCAAGGGGCGCCGACCGCAAAGCAAGGAAACCACAAGGGTCTTGCGCGGCTGCTGAAGGCCTGCATGAATGTCGGCCAGTTGCTATGGAGACCGACCCCGCAGTATCCCACCATGCCTCGCCCCAGCTGTCCAATTGTGAGCTCGGCGCCGGGCGCCTCCTGATAACGTATACGGAAGTGCGGCGGCCCCCGCCTCCCGGAGTAGAGGGACGGGCGCGACGTTTCCGGGAGCCCGGCAGCCGCGGGCACCTTTCAGGGAGTTTCAGACGTCGACCCGGAGGCCCCTTCCCCGCGGTGCGTAACGCTCCTCAGGGCACCTAGTTCGGCGTCTCTGGCCAGTCGGTCGGAGCTGGCCCAGTGAGGGCCGAAGCAGAGACTTAACCGGCCGGACGCGTGCGGCGTCGCGGGCCGGCTGCTGGCCGCCGAAGAGCCAGTGACTCCCCGCCCGCGGCGCCGGCGTAGACGGGAATGGAACGGGGCGGGAGGGTCCTGCCGCGCCGCACCGCGCCGCGTAGGGGTCTGGATTGGCTTTCTCTAGGGAGAAGAAGCGGCCTTCCGTGGAGGTCTGCCCTGGAAATGCTCACTTTCTAAAAACATAAATTGCCTATGTTCAGCGCCTTACAATTTCCTTTTCCATCCTTTACCCCTTGCGATCACTCAGCAGCGGTGTTTATCCTCCTTTTGCGCCCGGGGTAAGGAGGGGAGATTGTGATTTAATTTTGCTCACTCAATAGAGTTAGAGACCTCTGGAGACAAAAGTAAATATATATGTATTTAACAATGAAGAGGAATTGCAAATTGGCCAAACTGCAGTAACTCAGGCTTGAGAATGGGGAAAAATGAGGCTGGTTTGGAGAACTGAGGTTTTCAGGTCAGATTCAGATCATCTGTGAAACCCTTGAGGAATGCGACTAAGCCGCGCCTTGAGCCAGTTATTTGACATAACTCGAATTGTGTTAAGAAAAGTTAACAGAATACTTCAGGTTTGCAACCACTGCAGGGTCCTGGGGCAACCCAGAAGTAAAAAGCCTGCCTGAAAACGTGCTTTGTTTCGTTTGTAATTGTGGCATCGGCATCGGCGCGCAGGAGAGGCCTATAGCCTGGTTAGGCAGACAGATGTGAAAATGGGCAATTAGAGAGGAGATGTAAACACATAGGGCTTCCTGGAGGAAGTGGCGTTTACACTGATCTAAAGGTCTACAGAACTGCACCCAGAGAGGTTGGAAGAACATCGCAGTGAAATCAAGCCTCCAGTAGATGGAGAGATTAACTATTAGGAGGACCATTTAGTCTTCCTCTTCAGTATCTCTTGGCAACATTTGGCAGTCACCGCCCTTCCGTCTGAAGTTATTTCTCCCCATGACTGAGTTTCTCTTCTTCCGCCTCTTGCTAATTTCCTTCTCCTTTGCTGGGCTTTCATCACCTGCCCCTTTGGTGGCCCTGGGAGTCCATCCTGGACCTCTTCTCACTCCACACATTCTGCCCTGCTGGTTCCACTGGCCTCTCCCTTGGCCTGAAGAACTCTCTATATGCCGGTGACAGATACCTGCAGCCCAGATTTCTCTCTGAGGCTTTTCTCATTTTGGAGTCCGTGCACACATTGTTCACTCTGCTTGGAATGTTCCCTCCCCAGCCATCTCCGTGATCCTCTGGCTGAGCTCTGCATGCTGATGCTGCGGCAAGGATCTCCCTCTGCAAACCTTCACTGTTGGAGCAAGCTCCAGGTTCCAGTTAGATGCCTCTCCCATATACGCCCCGCCCCCATCTTAGCCCTTCTCACACCACAGTACTGTCCGCTGCTCTGCCTCTCCCAGGAAGCTGTAAATTCCTTGAAGTCAGAGACTGTCTCTGCCCTGTCATGCCCTGTCGTGCCCAGCATCTCCTGTACTGTCTGAAGGTACCTGGCATGTGTTAGGTCTTTAATAAATCTTAGATGAGTATATAAAAGAAAGAATGACTAATAGAGGTGCCTGGGTGGCTCAGTGGGTTAAAGCCTCTGCTTTTGGCTCAGGTCATGATCCCAGGGTCCTGGGATCGAGCCCCGCATTGGGCTCTCTGCTCAGCAGGGAGCCTGCTTCCTCCTCTCTCTCTCTGCCTGCCTCTCTTCCTACTTGTGATCTCTCTCTCTGTCAAGTAAATAAATAAAATCTTAAAAAAAAAAAAAAAGAAGAAAGAATGACTAATAGTGTTCAACTAAGGGAAGCAGGAAAAAATACTGGCATTGGGCACCAGAAGGTTATCTGCTGCCACAGGACCATAGATAAATGGAACGGAACATCTGGGAGATGAAAGGGTTGGAACAGCCAGAGCCTTGAAAAGCGTAGCTGTGAGTTGGGAAATGGGGAGTAGTTAAATGGAATGGGGCAAGGTTTTGAGTTTCTGCTATTTCTAAATGGGAGGCAGTACCCAAACACCTCTAAAGTTTCATGGGCAGGAGCTGTCAAAAGGGAGCATTGGAGAAACAGTGGAGGCGGGGGTGCTGGTAGCCTGAGGCTCCAGAGAAAAGAGAAGGACATGGGGGGTGACGCAGAGCACAGGGAGACGGGAAGGGAATCGCAGAATGTTCTCAGGAAGAGAAGTGGAGGGCCTTCCCAGGGGACGACCAACAGGAAGGGGTGGAGAGGAGGACGGAAGGGTGTACTTAAGGATTGACTGTGAGATGGTGGAGTCAAGGAGCTGGCCCAGTCCTTCAGTCTGTGCGGGGCCTTAAACGCCCCAATCACAAGTGTGTGTCCAGTCCCCGAGGCAGTGGGGACCCCACCCTTGGTGTTTCCCATCTTAAAGACCATCGCCTTGGCCAGCATTCCCCACACTGGGATCAGCAACAGTGTCCCAGGACTTGAGCATTTCCATGACTCCCAGGCCTCGGGGAGATGTGCGCACAGGGCTTGGTTTGACTCCCCGCATGGCCACTTCCTGCTTATGATAAGTGATGGCTCCCCTCCTTCTCCCAGAGCCCAGATGCCTGTCCAGCCTCCGAGCAAAGACACAGAAGAGATGGAAGCAGAGGGTGATTCGGCTGCTGAGATGAACGGGGAGGAGGAAGAGAGCGAGGAGGAGCGGAGCGGCAGCCAGACAGAGTCGGAGGAGGAGAGCTCAGGTGAGTACCCCAGTGCGCACACGGGTGCCCGCGCGGCCGCCCGCTCCTCAGCAGCCGGCGCTGACTGGCCTCTTGTCCCAGAGATGGACGATGAGGACTACGAGCGGCGTCGCAGCGAGTGCGTCAACGAGATGCTGGACCTGGAGAAGCAGTTCTCGGAGCTAAAGGAGAAGTGAGCGTGGGGCGTCTGGGGCTGTGTCCCCCTGGGGGCCCCCTGGGCGTGGGGGCGCGGAGGCAGCGGGCCGGTGCTGGGCAGGGGCGTCTGAGGACCTGCCGCGCAGGACCGGCCACGTGCTTGAGGGACACACATGCTCTGCCTTTTCCTTCCCAGGTTGTTCAGGGAACGGCTGAGTCAGCTGAGGGTGCGGCTGGAGGAAGTGGGGGCTGAGCGGGCACCTGAGTACACAGAGCCTCTGGGGGGCCTGCAGCGGAGCCTCAAGATCCGCATTCAGGTGGCAGGTCTGTGGGCCGTCCCGTGCGCTGGGGCAGCCCCCGGGCCTCCCCTCTCTGCCTCTGCCAGAGCCTGGGGCTCTCTGCTCCCCTCTCTTCCCTTCCCTGCCAGGGCCTGCTCCTGGCTCCCTATCTGGGACACCCAGGTCCCTGGCCAAACCGGGCTTCCCGTCTCCCCTCCCCGCTGTAGGGATCTACAAGGGCTTCTGTCTGGACGTGATCCGGAACAAGTACGAGTGTGAGCTGCAGGGTGCCAGACAGCACCTGGAGGTGAATGTGACGGGGTGGAGGGGGGGGGGACAGCGGAAGTGGCTAGTCCCCACCGCCCCGCAGAGCCTGAGCGGCCCCACCCCTTCCAGAGTGAGAAGCTGCTGCTGTACGACACCCTGCAGGGGGAGCTGCGGGAGCGGATCCAGAGACTGGAAGAGGACCGCCAGAGCCTGGACATCAGCTCTGGTGAGGCTGCCCGGCGCCGCTCTCTCTGTGCCATCCCCACCCCCACCCCCGCTCTGCCTGCCGGGGGAGCGGGGAGCGTGCCAGAGAACTTGCTTCATGGGCTCACCGTGTGGCCCAAACGGAACCAGGCACAGAAAGGAACCTGCCCAGTGCCTGGTGCACCAGGGAGGCTCAGCAAGAGTGGGCCCCCCCGCTGCCCGCCTTGACCCCTGCTCTCTTTCTAGAACAGGAGGTGTCGTTCTGACACCCCCACGCCTACAACAGCCACAGGTTCCCCCCATGTCCGCAGCGCCTGTGTTCATGGGGCGGGTCCTAGGGAGGCCTCAATGGTCATTGGGCACCGCCCACTAAACGGATGAAGAAACTGGTTGGACAGAAGTACAGCGCCCCCCGCCCCCCAAGGCTCCCACAGCCTTGTGGTCCTCGGGCCCTGACCTCCGCTTCTAAGCCCCGCCCCCCCGCCCCAGTCCTGGCTCTCTCCACCAACCTGGGAGGGAGAGGAAGGAGAAGGGCTGGCCTGGCTCCTATGAGGGACCCAGCTCCAAGGGCAGGGTGTCCTGGGCGGGCCAGCACCTTGATCCTGACTCTGGCTTTGGGGGCACAGAGTGGTGGGATGACAGACTGCACGCCCGAAGCAGCACAAAGACCTGGGACTCCCTGCCGGCCAGCAAGAGGAAGAAGGCTCCTCTCGTCTCTGGTATCCTTCCCCCGACGGTGGCCTGAATCTGACATCATCGGGGTTAGCTCCAGCCCAGGGAGTGGGTGGAGGCACATGGAAGGCGGAGTCACGCCGGACACATGAGGTGACTCCAGCTGTCGGGAATTTTCTAAGGCCCTGGGTCTCTGCCAGGCTGTGCGGACCATAGAGAAAGAGCAGCGCCCCCTCAATGAGTCCCTTAGCTTCCTGAGCGAAGTCTCCTTTGAGGCTTTCCCTCAACAGCCCGGGCAGGTCCCAGGCTTTCCCACTGCCACGTGCCTCCCCGCCTGCTCTCTCTCTCCACCCGCTTCTCGGAAGGTCGTACTGCCCGTCTGTGCCTGGTCACGGCTTGTCTCACCTCCTCTGTGAAGCCTCTCCTGGTTTCCTCGCAATGGCAATAGCTTCTCTGTCTTCTGCACCCCTGTGGCCTAACCCGGGACACCCTCATCCCATACACAGTTGCCCCCTGCCCGCCCTTAGGCGTAAGCCCCTTCAGCCCAGGGCCTGCCGAGCCCTCATCCCTCCTGGCAGCGTCCGGCACATGCAGAACAGAATCTGCACGCCCTCCACCTCCACACCCGGGTACTCCGGCCATCAGACTCTCGGGACCTGGCCGCCTGGTGATGGCTGTCGCTTCAGGCAGGGAGGGAAGCATCCGGGCTGCAAGGACTTGAGGGGTGAATGGGGGGCAAGGGTGTGGAGACATCAGGTACAGAACCCGGGAGGAGTGGGAGTGGGGAGAGTGGGAGAGCAAAGGAGGGTTGATTCCCGGATGGAAGGGACTGAGGTCTGTGTGTGTAGAAGGGACAGGAAGGGGACAGAGTTTTCACCTCCTGACTTTTACACTGGAGGGACGATGAAGGGGGAGCAGAGGGGAGGTAGGGGTGAGGCTTAGTACCCTCTCCCCAGACTTGTGAAGAGGCCACAGGCCCTGCCTTAGGAACCTGGGAGCCAAGAGGTGGGAGGCAGAACCTGAGCTCTCGCCGGGGTCCTCAGCCCCCCCCCACGCTGTGACACCTATCCCCTCCACCGGGCTTCCTGCTTCCTTGACCCCTGTCGCAGGTCCTTACATTGTGTACATGCTGCAGGAGATCGACATCCTGGAGGACTGGACGGCTATCAAAAAGGTGGGGCCAGGGCCCCTGCTTCCCTGCGCGGGTCCCCGTCCCTGACACCAGCTTTGGTCTCTGCGGGCTCACCACACCTGGACTTCCTGAGGGCCTGGGAGCCCTGCTCGCCCTCAGCACCTCCTGCCTTCAGCCCAGGTTCCCTGGAATTGGCCTTTTTTAGAGAGAGAGGGAGAGAATATGTTTGCATGTGCGAATGGTGTGGTGGGGGAAGTGGGGAGTGCAGAGGGAGAGAGAGAATCCCAAGCAGGCGTCATGCCTAACACAGAGCCCGATGTGGGGCTCGAGCTCTTGACCCTACTGAGCCGAAACCATGAGTCGGAGGCTTAACCGACTGATGGCTTAACCCAGGCGCTGGCCTGAGACTTTGAGGAGGAGGGACCTTTCAATCTGTGTCAGCCCCTTCCTCCTTCTGGGGCAGGTTTTGATGGGATGGGAGGCACCGACCCAGCAGCGCCCCTCCCCCAGAGAAACTGATGTGGAAGAAGGTGCTTGCCCAGCTGGAGGCAGGCTCTCAGGGCGGGGCTTTTCTTCTTACCCACCCAGGCTAGAGCAGCTGTGTCCCCTCAGAAGAGAAAAGCAGATGGTAAGATCCACAGGAGTTGTTCCGCCTCCTGCCCCCGCCCCCAGCCCAGCGTCCTCGGAAAGAGCCCAGAGAGAGACAAGGGTTAAGTCAGATCAGTGGCCCCCGTTAGAATGGTTGGCGTTTGGGGGTTTGGGCAGCCAGAGCCGGGGTAGGGATACGGAAGCTCTAGGTCGGTAGGGCTAGGGGATGAAGCTTCCCCCCAACCAGGACTGGGTAGGGGGAGGAATGCTGGGCCCATGCTGAGGGCTGTGGAGCTGCCCTGGGCCACCCCGAGGCCGGCCTCGCAGCCCCGACAGGCAGTGGTGTCCCCTCTTGGTTCAGCTTATCACCTGCAGTGCTCTCTGCTTCTGGCATTCCCTCAGGACCATGACCCTGCCGTTCAGAGCCAGGGGGCCCCTCGGAGCAGCTGGCCGCAAAGCCAGGATCCACATTTTCCTGCTGTGAGAAGGCAGGCTGACAGGGTCTGTCCAGCCAGCTCCCCGGTACTGCTAGTGGATCTTCCCCTCCAGCCATCACTGGTCCGGACTCCTCTGCCCTCCTCGGGGGTCCTGCACAGCTGTGGCCCAGAGCTGCCCTAGCCAGGCAAGACTGTCTCCTCCGTCCCCAGCGAGTGCACCGGCGCCGCCTCCCAGAGGGCAGCCTCCTCAGTGCTGTCCCAGACAGAGAAGGTGGGACTCCTCTTACACCAAAGCAGCATCCTTCCTGCTGACCTTGGACCAGTCACTGAGCCAGTGAGCTGGGCCCCATTTCATGGGAACTCTGAGCCAGACATCATATTTTGGGGGGCCTGTCTTTTCTGGCTGCTGTTGGAGGTGAGAAGGCAGGTTCCCCAGGTCTTCTCCAGGAGGTTCTTGGTGTCTCCCAGATTTCAGGGACTGGAATTAAAACCTTTCCCGGGACCTCGGTGTGAGCTGTGTGTGTCTGATTTAGCTTGCAAGAGAATCAGGGCTCCCCCAGGGAGTGCCTGAGTCAGGGGGGCTCTTCCTGGAGTCCCTGGTAGCTCCCCTCACTAGCAGGCAGGAGCCAACCTACTCTTGAGTTGGGGCAGAGGGAGGGGAAGGGGGGACTCGCCCACCACACCTCCCAGGGGTGCTCCCGAGCAAAGTTTGAAGCAACATGTGGCAAGACCATGTGTCCCGGCCTGTGCTTGGAGACTGGGTCATGTCTGCGCCTGTCCCAGTCCCTTGGCAGATCGGTAAGGCAGGCTGGTGGGCCTGCACGTGTAGGAGGCAGCTGGCAGCGGCACGGGGCGCTGACGACCTCACAGCCAAGCTCCCCCCCTGTTGAGCACCGAGTGTTAGAACCACCCCCAGAACCTCAGTTAAGCAAGGGGGTTAGTTTCCATGGAGACACAGCATCCTCTCTCCCTGGCAACCTGAGTCCCAACACCCAAGGTAGGCTCAGGAATGAGTCCATCTGGGGCTAGTAGGGGGTGCCCCCCCACACACCCGCTGACCCCAGGGCCTCGCACAGATGAGCAATTGACCAGTAGACTTAAAGGTGCGGGGGTGGGTGGGTAAACTTGGCCCTGTGGGCGCCCAGATGGGCCCTGCTTAACCCCTTCCCGCCTGCTTGTGTGGTTTGAGGAGGCCGGTAAGGCTTCCGGGCGCACCGTGCGGTGGCGGCTGGCCCCGCAGCTGGGGCTCTCGGAGTGGCTTTTGCACGGATGGGGATCCCTGGCCCCTGAGACGCGGCCCAGAACCGAGGAATCCGGGCTGGGCCCAGGCCGAGTGGACACCCAAGAGTTAACTGGCGGGGCGTGACAGGGCGAACCGCCCTCAGGAAGTGTTACTCACCGCCGGGAATGTGAGCGCTCCTGCCTCGGGGGCTGGATTCTCTTCCCGAGTCCTGGGAGAAACCGGGAGAGACCGAAGGCGCTCTCAGCCATGGAAAGCCCCGGGGAGCCAGGAGCTGGGCCTCTCGGAGCCCCCAGCCTGCCCAACTTCGCACCTGGGCGCCCGGAGAGAGAAAAGTTAGTGAAGTTGGAAGGGCAGCCTGGGGCGGGGGGAGGGGTGGCAGAGCAGGGTCTGCCCCAGGGCCGAGGAGCGGGAGCGGGCGGAGCAAGGGTCCCACCGCCTGCCATCCCCGCCACCCCCTCAAGTCTGCCGCCCACCCCTAGGCCCGCCGAGGACCCGCCGTACGACGTGCCTGGAGCCGGCGGGCGGCCGGCGGGCGGGCCCCAGCGGCCGGGGCGCAGCGTGAGCCTGCGGGAGCGCTTGCTGCTCACGCGGCCGGTGTGGCTGCAGCTGCGGGCCAACGCCGCGGCCGCGCTGCACGTGCTGAGGACTGAGCCCCCCGGGGTGAGTCATGGCTCTGAACCCGGACTGGCCGGCGGGGGGTGGCGGCGGCGGCGGCGGCGGCGGCGGCGGCGGTTGTGGGGGAGAGAGAGAGAGGCCAGAGGCAGGGGTTCTGAGCGCCCGACCCCTGTCCCTTGCAGACGTTTCTGGTGCGGAAATCCAACACTCGCGGGTGCCAAGCCCTGTGCGTGCGGCTGCCCGAAGCCAGCGGCCCCTCCTTTGTCTCCAGCCACTACATCCAGGAGAGCCCTGAGGGTGAGCGGGACTGGCCTGGGGGGAAGGGGCTGGAAGCAGTCAGGGCCGGGCGCAGGCGTGTTCCCAGAGAACAACCGCACTTCCCATCTCTCAGGCGTCTCCTTGGAGGGCTCAGAGCTCATGTTCCCAGACCTGGTCCAGCTCATCTGCGCCTACTGCCACAGCCGGTGAGCCTGGCCGCAGGGTGCCTGGTGTCCTTTGGTCCTGGCTCCCTGGGACAGTCTGTCTTCCCAACCCCTGCAGGTCCCGTCAGCCCCCAGAGCCCTGAGCATCCCTCACCCCGGGATTTCTGTTTCCCTCTCTGGCCTCAGGGACATCCTTCTCCTCCAGCTCCAGCTCCCCAGAGCCATCTGCCAGGCAGCCACCCACAAGGAACTGGAAGCCATCTCCCATCTGGGCATTGGTAAGGGCTCTTCTGCTACCCATTGCACAGATAGACAAGCTGAGGGCAAGAAACAAAGTGAAGGCACGCGGGCACATGGCCTGAGCCTGTGCCTTCATTTGGGCACCTTCCCCAAACCTCCCTGACGCCCCAACTGGTTTCTCCTCCCTAGAGTTTTGGAGCTCCTCCCTCAACACCAAGGCCCAGCCGGGCCCGTCTGAAGGCCAGCTGCTGCCCCGGCTGAAGCCCCGGTCCCCACAAGAGCTGGACCAGGGCACGGGAGCCGCCCTGTGCTTCTTCAATCCCCTGTTCCCAGGGGACCTGGGCCCCACCAAGCGGGAAAAATTCAAGAGGAGCTTCAAAGTGCGTGTGTCCACAGAGACCTCCAGTCCTCTGTCACCACCTGCCGTGCCACCTCCCCCGGTCCCCGTGCTGCCAGGTGCAGGCCCCAGCCCGACAGAAAGCTTCCCCCCTCACCAGCTTCTGCAAAGGGAGAGCTCAGTGGGGTACCGTGTGCCAGGGGGCCCCAGGCCCAGCCTCCCACCTCTGCCCTCCCTCCAGGAGGTAGACTGTGGCTCCCCCAGCAGTTCAGAAGAGGAGGGGGCGCCGGGGTCCCAGGGAAGCCCAGCGACCTCCCCTGGCCTGGGCCGCCGGAGGCCCCTGCTTCGGTCCATGAGCGCGGCCTTCTGCTCCCTGCTGGCGCCCGAGCGGCAGGTGGGCCGGGCTGCCGCAGCTCTGGTGCACGACAGACACACGGCTGTGGGCCAGCTGGTACAGGACCTACTGACCCAGGTGCGGGCTGGCCCCGCACCCCGGGAGCTGCAGGGGGTCCGAGAGGCACTAAGCCGGGCACGGGCCATGCTGAGCACGGAGCTGGGCCCTGAGAAGCTGCTGCCTCCTGAGAAACTGGGTGAGACCCGGGGCTCTCCGCTGGGCTCTCGGGAGTGCTAGTTCTTTCCGCTCCCCGCCTCTCTCCTGCTCTTCTCCTGTCTCACGGAAATTCCCCCCAACTTGCATCCCTCCTTGCCTACAGCCCCCCTCCACTGGCGCCCCAGTTCCCCTGACCCGGCCCACCTCTCCCCTGCAGAACACGCCTTGGAGAAGTCGCTGCATCGCTCCGTGCTCAAGCCTCTCCGGCCCATCCTGGCGGCCCGCCTGCGGCGCCGGCTCTCCACCAACGGCTCCCTGGGCCGCCTGGCTGAAGGACTGCGCCTGGCCCGGGCTCAGGGCCCTGGAGCCTTTGGGGCCCACGTGAGCCTCCCCTCCCCGGCCGAGGTAGAGCAGGTTCGCCACAAGCTGCTGCAGCTGCTCCGGGCCTACTCGCCCAGCGCCCAGGTCAAGCGGCTCCTGCAGGCCTGCAAGCTGCTCTACACGGCGCTGAGGACCCAAGCGGGTACGCCCCCTCCTTTCGCTGCCCCCCGGCCCCTGCCGGGTCAGAGGCAGGCCCCCCTGAGATCCCAGACTGGCACAGCAGACTGGGGAATGGGCCCAACCTCCCACAAACGGTGCAACTGAGGCCCAGAGGGTATAGAGTGTCCTCCTCCCCAGCCTCTCCGCTCCCCCACCCCGCCCCCATCTGTGGTCACCGTAGAGACCGCATCCCCCAAGGCCCGGCAGGTGGAGGGGAGGGTCACTGTCTGAGACACAGGGTGGACACCAACCCTGGGGCCCGAGCAGAGTCTGAAGCTTCCTTCTCTGCTGCCCCACAGGGGAGGCCGCGGGGGCAGATGAGTTCCTTCCGCTGCTGAGCCTTGTCCTGGCCCAGTGCGACCTTCCCGAGCTGCTGCTGGAAGCTGAGTACATGTCGGAGCTGCTGGAGCCCACCCTGCTCACCGGAGAGGGTGAGGGAGCGCCTCCGCGGGCCACCGCCCTGTGTGGGGTGGACTGGGCCGCTTAGGGGCTGCATAGCCCCCAGGAAGGGGGGGGGGCGTGGCGAAGCATCACCTGTCCCCAGCCCGAGCTGCATTCTTCCCCTTGTGTCCCAGGCGGTTACTACCTGACCAGCCTCTCCGCCAGCCTGGCCCTGCTGAGTGGCCTGGACCAGGCTCACACCGCGCCCTTGAGCCCCTCGCAGGAGCTGCAGCGCTCCCTCAGCCTCTGGGAGCAGCGCCGCCTGCCGGCCACCCACAGCCTCCAGGTACGGGGTCTCCCCACCAGCCGCCTGAACTGCCCGGTTTCCGGGCGCAGTGGGGGTGGTGGGGTTCTGGCGTCATCCTGCGCGGTCCCCTCCTTTTCCTAGAGAGACCCAGCAGGGGAGAGAAGCAGCCCGCTGTGTGGACGTCCACGCCTCGCCTTCCTCGTGAGGGCACGTTCCGTGTGCTCTGGGGGCTCAGCCCTGCAGCTTCAAAGAAACTCAGATTTAGGACCATTATTATCCCATTTTACAGATGAGGAAACAGAGACGTGACATGGAGGGTGAAAGGGACGCAGGTGGCAAACTCACGCCCCAAATCTTAGCTTCTAGCGCCGCCACCCCCACACATGGGGCTCTGCCCTCCCCTGGAGTGAGGCTCCCCACCCATGCTCCCCGCACCCTCCTCTCCATCCAGCCCAGGGACCCTCCCCAGCCTCGGTGAGGACTTTAGACCCTGCAGCCAGATGCCGGCTTCACATCCTGCCTCAGCTACTTTCTGTTTGCAGGAGCGGGGCACCTTACGTAACTGCTTTGTGCCTGGCTATCCTCATCTGTAAGTGGAGGCAACAGGAAGTGGCTCCTGGGGCCAATGTGTGGATGAGATGAGCGAATGCAGGACGGGCGCCTGGCCCCGGGGGAGGCTCCTAGGAGGGCTGTCAGGCTCTGGACAGCTGCTGGGGCCATCCTTCCCGCCGCCAGCCCGCAGCTCTAACCCACTAGCCAAGGCGGACCTCACCTTTCCGCAGCTCCCTTTATCCAAAAAGCTTTTGTCACTCGGCTCTACCCCTGGATTTATACCCCGCGCCCCGTCCCTGCAGAGCCTACCCTGGGACCTCAGGCTGTACAGCCAGAGACGGAGCAGGCAGGACTGAGCTCTGGCTTCGCTTGTCTTCCTGCACAGTGCCTCCTCCGAGTAGCCCACCAGGACCCCAGCAGTGGCTGCACCTCCAAGACCCTGGCTGTGCCTCCGGGGGCCTCGATTGCCACCCTGAACCAGCTCTGTGCCACCAAGTTCCGAGTGACCCAGCCCGACACGTTTGGCCTGTTCCTGTACAAGGAGCAGGGCTACCACCGCCTGCCCCCCGGAGCCCTGGCCCACAAGCTCCCCGCAACCAGTTACCTTGTCTACCGCAGGGCAGAGTGGCCTGAGACCCAGGGGGCCTCGCCTGGGGCTACACCGGCGTTTGGCAGTGGGGAGCCAGAGGCAGGAGGCAGGGAGTTGGAGAAAGGGGGCCAGGGAGATGGGCACATCGGGGTCAAAGCCGGTCCTGGGGATAGCCAGGGAGAGTCTGACACCAGTGCTGAGAGGGCCAAGGCAGGGATGGGCCAGGCCAGGGGGGCCCCTGCTCAGCCAGTGGGGCCAGAGGCTGCCGGAAGCCAGGCAGCAGAGGAGTAGCCAGAAGTGATCAGAAGGGTCATTTGAGACAGAAAGCTGAGCCTGCTGGGAAGGCCTGTCAGAGCCATCAGCCCCAGCCCTGCAGGCTTCCCCACCCCAGCCACTCCTGAGTCCACCACCGCCCCGTCTGATACTTCCCTCCGTGATCACACCTGCTGAGGTGGCGCCTGGCCTGGCCGCTTCCAGAACACTGGAATCAAGTTGAGTGGGTTTGAGGGACCCCAGACCCAGGGCTCAGGCCCTCTGCCTCTCTCCCTTACCCTCCCAGCTGGAGGCCAGCCAGCCTTCAGTGCCCTGTGTCCAACAGGGGACAAACCCAACAGGTGCCTGGCCACTGGCAGGCCCTCCCGGCTGCTGGCTTCAGGGCCAAGAAGGGCTTCACCTGTTCCTGGGTGTCAGGAGGATTCAGGGAACCAACACGGGACCAGAGCCCAGGCCAACCGTAGCGCAGCTGGAGGACCAGCAGCTCCAGACTTCAGTGTCCTGGAAAGAGAGGGGCCCTGCCTTCTCCGACAAGTGCCCCAGAGGCCAAATGGATGGTTTTGCTGCAAAACAGAGCTCAGGCTAGAGGGAAGGAGAGGGTAGGAGGTGGGATGTTAGCGGACCACTCCCCCCAGGGTCTGTTGAGTGCATTCACCGAAGGCTCTCGTCCCTCCACTCGGGTGAGATCCAAGAGATCAGGTCTGGCCCAGGGAGCACCCAAGCCCCAGTCTTTCTTCAAGGTGGCAATTTCTGCCATGCACTCTGGCATCCCAGGGGACTTGGACAGGGGAGATGGGCTTCCGAAACAGAAGGGGTGCTTGGAAACCATTTTCTCTGCACTTAACTCTTCTGGACCTCACAAGAGCTCCGCGGAAGGCTGGGCATGGCTTATTACACACTGAGAAAGTGACTCCTAAGATACCAATCGCATAGCCGGCCATTACAGCCTCCCCACCCAAACCAGGGTGTCAGGCTCCAACTACGTGCCCTCTCTTCTAAGCCACCAATAAATTAACCCTAAAGGCCCTACAACCCCCAGTCGGGGCCCAGGGCAGGGAGCCAATGGGAGCAAAGGAAATGCCAGAGATGACCACATGGGGGTGCGCGTGGCCCAGGAAGTGGCCAGTGGGTAATTGCCAGGGGCGAGTTCGTCTCCAGGGCCAAAGCCCAAAGCGAGTTAGGTGGCCAGAGACCCTGTATTCCTGCAGCCACCAGGCGACCTGGGGTCAGTGCAGGGCCCAGCACTGCCAGCCTTCAGCTCCCAGATTTCAGGCAAACTCCGGAGGAATCACTCCCTGTGAAAGAACTGTCCCCTGGTGGAAGGAGGACCCCGGCCAGGCTCTGGGGTACTCCCTCAGGTGCTGACCACAAAGGGACATCATACCCCACGTGAGACAGACATGACAACTGAAAGGTAGAAATCCTGGACATTGGGATTTCCGACAGTCCAGAGACAGATGCACCAAATTTGGGTGCATCGCTCTCCAATGTGTCACTAGAGCCACCGGCAGCTCCTGCCTCCCACTTACACCCCCGCTCCGAGCTTCCTGCTGGCAGGGAGTCTCCCCCTTTGTATGTCCCCATCCCTATTTCACCCCCACCCCCCAGTGCCTTGCCCTGCGCTGGGCACTGCACCGGTAATCAATAAATGTTGTCCCCTGATTGGAGTTTGAGAAAAAAGAGTGAAGGGCAATGAGGTGGGAAGCTGGGAGGTTAAGACGGGGGCCTGGGTTCTGGGAACCAAACAGGATGTCTCAAGTTCAGTTCCAGAGGAAAACCTAGAACAACCGATTGCCAGGGGTGCTCAGAGAAACCCGGATGTGGAGCTGGCCTCACCGGAACTGGGTCTGGCAGAAGCTTCTGAGCCCCTTCCTTTGCGGCCCTCTGCAAACCCCTCCTAACCCCTTATTTTTTTTTTTTTTTAAGATTTTATTTATTTGACAGAGAGAGAGATCACAAGTAGGGCAGAGAGGCAGGTAGAGAGAGAGGGGAGGAAGCAGGCTCCCTGCAGAGCAGAGAGCCCCATGCGGGGCTTGATCCCAGGACCCTGAGACCATGACCTGAGCGGAAGGCAGAGGCTTTAACCCACTGAGCCACCCAGGCGCCCCCTCCTAGCCCCTTACTGTGCTCAGTCCCACTTCCAGGCTCTGGGAATTCAGTAACCCCCTCCCCTGCTCAGAGCACTATGGGGCCCTTCCCGCTACTGAGCCTTTTGAGTTTTCCTCTCAAGACATCGTGCTTGGTCAGGGGCCAAGGCCAGGTAACAGCACGGTCAAGGGTCACCGTCCAGAGGTGGGGACTCCGAGCAGGGCAGGCAAGGATAGGCTGGTCTAAGACTGGGCTCATTCCCATTTTACAGATGAGGAAACAGGCTTGCTCAGGATAAGTGGTTTAGTCCAGGGCAAAGGGCTGGGACCCAGCTTCCGTGGAGCTTCGGGATTCTGCCGTCCTCCAAGACAGAAGCACGCATTTACTTATCCTCTCAGCAATAATCAACTGCGCCCGAATGGACCAAGCACCAAGCACCCCCAGCCCCCGTCGGATGGAAAACAGCGTGATTGACAGGAAGAGCGCGCCCCGGGTGCCTCGGTATCTAGCCCCGCCCCGCCCTCGCGCCGCCTTCCACCTTGGCCTTCAGGAAGAGGACGTCCGGCGCACGAGCCGCACCTGGCCAGCAGGCACCGCTGCAGAGCCGGGCGCGAAGGCCGGCGTTTGGCTCGCAAGCAGCCGCCAAGTCCTTTCCTCGCCCGGAAACGTTGCTCTTAGCAGCCCTAGAGTCGCAGCGGCTCTCTGTGTGAGTTTATGGTCATCTTCCCCACCAGGCCGGAGCCAAGTCAGCCTTGTTCGCCTCTAAATCTCGGGGGGCCAGAACAATGCCTGGCCCGGAACTGGCACTTAGGAGATGGATGTGGAATGATCGATTCGTAAGACACCGCCCGCCCGAACAGTTCCTCCGAGTTTGTGCGGCTGGGGCGGCGCAACCTCCATCGCGGCCGCCAGGGGGCGAGCACGCCCGTTTCCAGGCACATAGCCGGCCCCGTTCTTGCGGGAGGCCACCCAAGGACCCTGGGCACTCCGACCGCCTGCACCCGGCCTGGTGCCAGCGTGGGGAAGCCTCCCCCCAGTGGGGCCCTTGGCCCGTCCTGCGAACGGGAGTCCTGCCAGCAGAGGTTGGGAAGGGGATGCGGGGAGCCAGGGCCTCTGGAGTGGCCCAAGAGAGGCCCCGGGAGGGGTGGGGAGAAGGCGGTCATTGAGACCCACACCATCACCCTCCCTCACGTCCACGCAGAACATTCGGTACCCAGCTGGAGTCTTGTGACCCATGCCCCCGCCTCTGCGCGCAGTTTAACACACAGAAGCATCCTGACTCGCGTTTGCACACGGAATTTGTGACACCCTGCAGGCCACAGTCATGTACAGAGAACCTGGGCACCCCCAGCTGTAACAGGAACACTTAAGAGTGTTGGAAATACCTGGAGACTAAGCCACTCCTGCCCTGCAGGGTTGGACCCCGTCACACACACACACATACACACACACACACACACACACACACACACACACACACGGGCCCCACCTCTGAGCCGCACCCTGACAGCCATCCCTAGATCTGCAAGCTCAGAGACATTCCCTCATCACCCTCCCAGCCTCTCAGGTTGAGAATGTGACTCGGTGACACACATCCATGGGGACAGGCTGACACGGAGACATGGTGAGTGCTACATATTAGGTGACACACACCCACCCAGCTAGCACTGCCAAGTCCTCTGCTCAGTCACGGCATGTGGGCTTGCTTCTCACGCTGCACAGGCATAGGAAGTGTCCACGCGCGCACACACGTGCACACACATGCACACACACACATTCTTTCACACTTCTGATCATGCTGAAGAGGTCCAAGCCCTGATCCCGACTAATCTCACTCCAGCGCGGGCCTATCCCTGCCACACTCAGCCATGCTAGGCCATGATGGACCCTGGTGGGGGCTGGGAAGTTGCTGAGGAGACTCCCTTGGGGGGTGTGGCACCCCCACTGGCCAGGAGGGAAGCGGAGGCCGGAGGTCCCGGGGCGGGGCGGCCTGAGCTCATCAGATTCCAGCCTGAGTGATTCACGGGAAGCGCCCAGGGAAGGATCTGCGAGGGTGGGGGTAATGACCCAGGGGCTGGGGCTTTGGGGGCCCGGGTTGGCTTCAGACTGGAAAGGATCTTGGGTCCAAAGCAAGCCTCTAGTGCGGGAGGGGGCTTCCTGAAGGGTGGCCCAGCCTGAGGGGTGTCTGCAGGGTCTGGCCCCTGGGAGGGGCTCAGGACACGGAGCTGAGCCCGCAGGATGAGACAATCGGCCACTCCCTCCCTCCCCACCCCGGGCCTGGGCCCCTGACCCTACGCCTTCCCAGCCCCAGCAGCTGGGTGTCTTTAGCAGGGGTTAGGCCAAGGGTGGGGGGCAGGGGTGGGGTGAACTTCACGGCCATCTTGGCCCCTGGGGCCTTCAGACCGGCAGCCGTACTGGACCCCAGAGACCCTGAAGGGCGGAAGCCGGTTGGCCCAGTCGGGGCTGACAGGGTTACAGACCCTCGCTGCCCTGCCAGGCGAGGCTTCTGCCAGAGAGCCGAGAACACAGCGCCAGGGATGTTTTCCTGCTGAGATGGAGCCCTCTGCTCCTGCCACCTCCTGAGCCCCCTGCCTCCCCGGAGGGGCTGATGCTCGAGGACCCACTCCTGCAGGGTGACAGGAAGACAGGATGGGGCTGGAGGCAGGGGTTGCAGGAAGTGCCTTTCTTGGAACTTGGTACCAAAATAGCCTGTTCTGTCCCTAATCTAGATCTCAGTGTCCCACAGGGGAGATAAGTGTCACCAAGGAGACCCTCACCAGGGAGGGGCCTTAGCCGACCTTAATCAGGCTTTGGCTCACCACCCCTCCCCTCTCCTACCCAGACCAGCCCCCACCAAGCCTGCCTCAGGCTCTGCTCTGCTTTGAAGTCCTAACATAAATATCATGTCTGCTTGGGTTCCCCTTCCCGGCCTGGTCACAGCCCCCAGACCTGGCTCCCACCCCAGCCAGCCCTGGGGGTGCGTACCGGGGGGCGGGCGGGGAGAGGAGGGAGGCCTGGACCACCCAGGGAAGGGGGCGAGCCAGAGATGCTGGAACAGCAATGGGGAGACAGGGCAGGCACCAGAGGCAGAGAGGGAAGACACGGAAGTAGACAGACAACAGAGAGACAGACCCGAAAAACCAACAAGGTGGCCATCCTGGGGACAGGAGAGGAGACAGAGAGACCCCAGAGGGTGACAGGAGTGCAGGAGATGCCTGGCTGCAGAGAGGGAAGAGAGAGGATGAGAAATAGTGCTGAAGGCCAGTGAGACTCCAGAGATCCCTGGGGCGGGGCGGGGGGGGGCAGGAAAAGAAGGGAAGCTTCCAGGGTGCGGGGGTGCGGACTGGGACGCTGACACTGGGGTAGCAGAGGGAAGGACACGGTGGAAAAAGAAACATCCTGGCAACAGAGTGACGGAGCATCCTCACTTGCTGGGGTGCAAACGGGGTCCCCACTAGACAGGATTTGCAGTGCTGAGATCAGGACGCTCCCCAGCAAACTGTGACACGTTGGTCACCCTTGGCAGCAGACTTCTGCCAGATGCCCCAAGGACCACAGAGTCCCCACCCCCCAGCCAAAGAGCAGCAGAGGAAGGACAGGAACAGCGGAGGCCAGGGGAGCAGCCGTCCCTCCTGGGATCCCCAGACTCAGGCAGTCCCTGCTCTGCCTCCACCCTGTGACCCAGGGCCAGCCTTGTCCCTCTCCGAGCTGGGAGGACACTGAACAGAGGATGGGGCTGGGCCCTTCTAGCTCTGTGCTGGGCTCCAAGATGCCCATCCTTGTGGGCAGATGTGGCCAGATGTTCAGGCCAGGCATCTGGCGGGAGAGGGACTGGGGCCCCAGCTGTGCCCAGGTTGGGCGATCCAGAGGAACCATACGTTCCTCCCCTCACAGCTGTGGGTGCAGGTGTGGGCCCGTGGGGACACGCACACATCACCCAGCTGCATGGGCCCTCAGCAAAGCCAGCCCCGGGCAGGCACACACACTCATGGACACACCGCCATGTACAGACACCCATGAGCACACCCAGCATCTCTCCGTGGGGGACGCCACCCCCAGCCCCCTCCAGCTGTCAGAATCCCTTACCCCCAGGGACCAGGCCTGGACACACCACTTCTTCCTGGGCCCCACCTTCCCCAAGCCTCTCCTTCCCACCCTGTCCAGTCCCCAGCACCACCCCTCTTCCCGCCCCCGCTCTCCCATCCAGAAGCACAGAGGGTGTGGCCCCGGCACGTGGGGAGGGAAAGGAAGCCAAAATCACTGCCCTCCCCCCAGACAGCCCTCCCTCCCCACTTCTGCCCTGGGACCTCGCCCACCTCCCGTCCATCCGTCCAGCAGCTCCCACTGGAGACCAGGCGCCTCCTGCCCACCAGTTGCCTGAAGGCTGGGGCGGTTTGGGAAGAATTTGGAAATGGAGGGAGGTGGGGGGATGGGGACAAAAGAAAAAGGAGGAAAGGAGGTGATTTGTACACAAAGCAATGTGCTGGCTCGGCAGCGGGCCCG